ACCCTGTCTTTAAATTAAAAAACAAAAACCAGAAATTGAACTCAGGACCTTGTGCTTGCCAGATAGGCACTGTGTCACTGAGCTATAGTCCTGGCCCTCAAAGTAAAATTTTTAAAAAGGGATTGGGAATGTAGCTTGGTAAAGTGTTTGTCTAGCACATGGGAGGCCTTGGGTTGTATTCCCAGTATCACCAAAAATTTTTTTAAAATTTTACTTAGCTGAGTAAAGCAAAACAGTGTTAAGGAAAAAAGATAAGGGTAAGAGTATTTTGAATTTTAAAAAGTCTAAGCTATGTGTGGTGGTGCACATCTCTAATCCCAGCACATGGGGGACTGAAGCAGAAGGATCATGGCCTCAAAGCTGGTCTGGGCTACAGTGGGATGTTATCTCAAAAAAATCTCTTAATTTTAATTTTAAAGAGATGTGGCCCATCGCTTCTCGGCCTTTTGGCTAAGATCAAGTGAAGAGATGTGGCCTTGACACACTACTCCTTCTGCTGGTTCTTTCCATGACCCTGGCCCCTGCCTGAGCGGAAGTGCAGGATGCCTCTCACCTCCAAGCTCTCCAGGGTCTCCGCAGCACCGAAGACCTTAACCTCGGAGCTGGTGTAGTGATGGCTCAAAAGGATTTCAGTCTGGTCAGCGTAGAGCCGGGGGCTGAAGGGCACTTCTGCCCCCACCTGCTCCAGAAAGAAGTGGCTGCCAGGAAGGGAGGCGGTGACCACCAGTGTCGTCGTTTTGGTGCTCAGGTGCTTGAGCTGCATGTCTGCCAGTCTGAGCATGGTGACTGAGCAGAAGTACTGGCCTGCAGAAACAGGAGCATTCACCCCGTCTCCTGCACTCCCACGCAGGGACACCACCCCTCCCTGCTTCTCTCACCCCTCCCACATCCTCCAGAGCCCATATAAGAAGTTTCCTCCTCCAGGAGGCTTTCTGGCAATCTCATGTTGGACGCCTTCTCTGTGACCAACGGTCCCCTCCACTATTTCAGAACCCCACATCCCGAGCTGAGTGGTGCTCCTGGGGCAGGAAGCATAGTGGAGCCAGCCTGGCCAAGAAGGAGAACAAATAAATGGCAGCTAGATGCTATACCCTGATGTGGGGCTGCAAGTCCAGCCAGAGCTGACTCCGAGATGGCCAGCACCCTGCTGCAGTGGGGGTTTCTGGTACCTGTCACTATTTGGACTTCAGTCCCATCCTCCACCCTAGACCCACAGTAAAATAGATGCTTGGGACCTGAATGCCTGGGTTTGGTCCCTTCCCTTCCAAGCCTGAGCAGGTCAACCTCCAACAGTCTGCTGTGTGAGGCCCGAGCCTAGGCCCAGGGCCCAGGTGTCCACAGGACACATCTGCTGTTCAGCAATCACAGCACCCCTTGGCCAGCACGTAGAAGGGCCAGGCTGGTGCTGAGATAGCCTTGCGTTCTATGCTCCAGTACCCTGGGCTACTGAACAGCTACACCCCAGCATGTGCCTGGTGCAGCCCCTGACTACTTAATAAGGACACCTCCATCCATCTCCCTCACTGTGGCAGAGTGAGGCACCACTGTCCCCATTTCAAGGTAAGGGATGGAGGCCAGGACTAGAGGGGGGGACTCTAGCCCGCGTTTGGAGGCTCTGCATCCTTTCTCCTGGGTTTGGGTGGCAGAAGAAGCCAGCCTTGGTCTGGCTCAGGAAGGCTGACCACTCCTCATGCCCTGAGGGCCCACTGAGGCCAGGGGCCTGGGGCAAATTCTGAGCTGGATTCCTGACAACCTCCACCTGTTGGACAGATGGCCACCATGAGCCACAGAGACCTCAGATGGACACTAGACAGAAGTACATAGACAGAAGTACCTCCAGATCCCTGCTGGTTTACCTAGAGCAGTGTCAAAGCCTGGCCCAGATCCCTGCTGGTTTACCTAGAGCAGTGTCAAAGCCTGGTTCGACGGCAAAGATGTCTCCTGCCAGGAAACTGAAGATGTCGTGCTTGAACCGGAACTGGCAGCCGATAATCAATTTGGGGTGCAAGGTCTCAATGACTTCCCTCTGCATGGCAGAGCACTCACCTGAGGAGGGGGGGTGGTGAGGAGGGTCCCCTGAGGGCTGGCAGGGCCGCAGATGGCACATGCACCCATATTCCTTCCATGGATTTTCACAGATGCCAGGGCTTTTCATAGATACTGAGGGTAAATTATGCAGAAGGTCAGCCAGAACATGGGCAACTTCAGCTCAGAATTCTGCATGGGCTCTGAGCTGGCACTGAGGGCCACAGCTGATGGCCGGGTATGCTCTTGTCACCTGGGGGAATGAGCGATTATTTCCAGACACTAGGAGGGCAATAATTCTCCAGTAACACCCTGAGAACCACTTTGGTAGCAGCAGAGTACTGCCCACTAGCACCGAAGGCAGGGAAGGAGTCAGTGACCACCATGTAACAAGCCTGAACCATTAATCACGATAAGAATGGTGTTTAATCCTATCAGTCAAGTGACTTAAAAAAAGAAAAAACTAACCGGCAGCCTCTACTGAGTATTTTATCTGTAACAGCTGCCGGCCAGGGCTGTCGCGAGGTAGAATGCATGGTTTGGGAGTGGTAAGTACAAAAATTAAACACAGCAACCGTTCTCGCTAAGTCATTAGTTCCTCCTATTAATGATGGCAAACTGCAGCTTTCTCTGCTCTGGTGCCCTAGGGCTGATGCCATTTCTGACTCAGAAAGAGGCCACTGCTGGGAGCTGGCTCTAGAAGACTACTTTCAAGGGCCTGGCCTGTGGAGGTCTCAAATTGCTAAGAAGTTGCAAGGAGCAGATGAGCTGGAGCTAAAGGCTCTTTCTGGGGTCAGGGTGGCAGGAAAGCAGGGTGGCAGATGGAGTTTGGCGGCAGAGTGCTTGTCTAGCATGGGTGACACCCAGACTTCCATCCCCAGCACTGACAAAAGCAGATACAATCCTTTCCAAAGCCTACAGGGAGCCACTTTCAGCTCCCCCTGTCGGTAGGGCCCTCCCCAGACCTCCTGAGCCCCCACTGCACTCCGGACCTCTTAGGTTTGAACTTCTGTCTCCCAGGGTAACAGTCACTCGGGAGGCTGTGGCATCTTGAAAAGTGGTCTGGGTAGAGTGGATGCGATGGGCCACAATCCTCTGTGGGACACTGACCATGACCTAGGGAGAGAGCAAGGAAGCCTGGTGGGCACAGACTGCGTGCCAGCTGGGCTGGGCATTTCTATGGGTTCTTACTCCCCCAGAAGGCCCTACAGCTCCCAGGGCTGCATCAGGTGTAGGGCTGCAGGTGGGCTCACCAGGAGCTCCTGCTGCCCAGCACTACCTCTTCCGGGAGTCCCACATGTCCCTGCAGGACTGGCTGAAGCTGCCCACTGCTGCCCTGGCCTTGACTCCCATCACCCTGTCTTCTCGTCTACTCCTCACTGCCATGCTGGTTTTCTCTCCACTTCTCCCAACTCCTTGGCCATCACTAGAACCTTCTGCCTAGGCTGCTGTTCCTGACACACCCCATCTCTGCTGAGGGACTGGGTCATCTCCAGTGTTCTGCACAGGGCTCCAGATGCGCCACCCAGCTGTCCCTGAGGTTCATGTGAGGTGTGGTGACACCCACCCAAAGCCACTGTGCCCTCCATCGTCTCCCTACCACCCTCTGGGCTCCTCTCTCAGAACAAAGACCATCATCAATCGGATTACCCATACTGGACACGGGAGGCACCACAAGCCCTCCTTTGCTCATCCCTACTTCCACAGTGCCACGCTGGGGTGACCCCCTGCCCAAACCCACTTGGTTTCTGCCTCAACCGCCAGTCCTGGCTCAGCCTCACCCTCGGTACTGGAGCAGTTGCCCTTCAGGTAACCCTTCAAGACACACCCTGTCTGTATCATTCTGACTAAAACAACCCACCAAACCCACGGGGTGGGGGGTCTCATCTCTGTGTCCTGGAAAGGCAGTGGTGGCAGCTCACAGTCAAGGTGCAGCTATAGACACTGAGCCCACACTAAGTGCATCCCAGTGTGCTGGCATGTTTCAGCTTCCTAGGGAAACTGAGGCACAGGGATAGCTTGCTCCAGGTCACATAGCTGTGCAGTGGACAGGACTGGCTCTGAACCCAGATACTGTGCCCCTGGGTCTCACGCTCTTTTAGGGGGGATGAATCATGCTGTGTTGCCAAGGTTGATGTCAGCCTCCCAGGCTTGTGTTCCTCCTGCTTCCATCCCACGTAGCTGAAGATGCCAGGTACACTCTGCTGGCCATGTTCATCACTGTGGCCAACTACACACTGTCACCTGCCCACAATGCCAGACCCAAATTTCTGCTTTCAAACCTGACTCACCTAGTCGCAGGTGGCCCCCTACCTTGACCACTCCAATGGCCTCCTCTGGGAAAGCAGCCCATCATTAATCATAAGGTGTCTGTATCTGCAACCCACCTGCCAAACCACACAGTCGCAGTGCTAAATATGCAAACTGTTAGGTTAAACCACTGGATTCCAGAAAGCACATGCTGGCTCACAAAATGAGATGCTTTTGGAACTCGGGCAGACCAGGCTCATTGATTCATTCTCGGCTCGAGATAAATGCAAGAGAGAATGGGTTTTGTTTGCCTTCAGAGAGACTCCAAAGGTGACTTGCTGGGGGAGGTTTAACTGCTGGTGACACCAAATGTCTCGGCTGTCCTGCCCACAGCCAGTGCTTCCTTGGGGAAGTGCCCACCCTGGTGTCTGCCTGGTCACACTGGCCTGGGCCCCCAGGGTGGGAAGTGGAATCATCACACCAGTTTGATGCATGTACTGGAGGCCTATGGTGAACAGGGAACTTGTGCCCCGCTCAGAGTTAACGAGTGGGCGATTCTAATGGCTTTGGACAGCTCCTGGTGGTTCAAGATTCTTGCAGAAAAGGGAATCCTAACATATGAGTAGATGCTCGTCCTGTGCCCATGGATTTTATCAGTGGAGGAATCATAATCATGACTCCCTTAACAATATGATCTGACAACCACAGCATTTTCATCCTATTAGGGTTACAAGCAATCTAGAGATGGTTTAAGGTGTCCTGAAGGTCAGATGAACCTATGGAAACCTGTATACCAGGGATCTGTGTGCCTGCAGATCCTGGCATCCAAGGGGACCCTGCCACCAAGTCCCCGAGGACAAGACCGGTAAGTGTCTCTGACCACCCTCAAGCCCTCCTCCTTGTAGGTCCTCAGATGCCCTGCGATCTCATAGTAGACTGTCACAGGTCCCACGTCCTGAGCCATCGTCACCCCTGTCTTCGAGTCCATGTGGAGGATGTTACTGGCTGAGAAGCTCCAGGTTCCGGAGATGCCTGAGAGAGGAATTCCTGGTGTCACCCATAGATCACACCTCTGGCTGCAGCTAATGCCCAGCTGACCGGATGACTGTGCCAGCCTCAGTAGGGAGCCCCAGGCCACTGCTCTCACCCTTCTGGCCCCTGTACCTACTCTGGGTGAGGCGCTGGGTCCCAGGCCACTCTGGCCCCTACTGACACCTCTCTGTCTGTAGAGGGCTCTCCGGGGCAGGAGTTAAGCCCTGATATTAGGGGCACGTCACATCCTTGCATGGGGAACCGTTTGATGCCCTGTCCTGGGATGGTTAAGGGCTGTCCATAAAGTCCCCCGCCCTTAAACCCTCCACTCAGCACACTCCCACCTGGTTCCCCCTGTCAGGGCCTTTTAGTAAACAGAAAGCAGGTGTCAGGCCCAGCACTGTGTTCACAGTCAATCACATTATACAATAAACTCAATTAAAACTCAACAACCCTTTTCTATTTATGGCAAATTGTAGTTGTTTTTCTTTAAAGATAGTATTTAATTTACTCTTAAGATGATTAATGAGGCAAAAATGGGAGTCCATTGGAAAATAAAAATTAAGCAAATAACAGAGCCTGAGTTTTCTGGCTGTCGGGTGGCACAGGAATGGCTGAAATTGGAAACCATTAGCTACCTCCACAATCGTGTTTGCGTGTGTGTCCCAGAGCAATGCTATTCTACCCAGTAGCCACTGACCATGCAAGATACTAAAGTGACGAATTCAGTCCCCTAGGTGAGTTAACTGTATATGAGCATCCTGGAAAATACTGGATAAACAGCGAGAATTTGGGACAGTGCTACAAGCCCACAGGACTCTACTGGACAGTGCTGTTCTAAGGAGGGACTGGTGAACTCTCCACAAGAACCCGATGGCAATCAGTGTGGGCCACGCAGAACATAGAATCTCTGTCATCACAGAATCGGTGTAGCTGGGTTTCAGTACAACTGGATTTGCAAAACACAGGCTGCAGGTTACCCTGGTAGCAGGCTCCAACCCCTTCTCCGGAGCGCCCTCCACAGGCTCTACCTGTGTGCCTCCCGTGACAGGGCTGGGCACCTCCCAGCAAGTGTTAGTAACTCTTACCTTCCAGGCCAATGAGAACAGTGGCCAGGCAGAGGACGTTCTCTACCACCACCGTGGCAGACAGCTCCGGGGAGATGGCCTGCAGGATAGGCAGCGGGACGTAGTCGGAGAGGCCTCAGTGTCCCACACACGAAGCAGTGTCAGGCCCGTGCTCACTGTGTGGACGATGCAGGTGTTATTGGTGGTGCCCTTGCCAATCTGCACAAAGTCATCTCTGAGTGTGGAGGAGAGAGGAGGCATGGGCTCAGACTCAGGAGAGACATAGTCCAAGTCCTCTGCTGAGTGCAGGTCTGGCAGCTGCCACAGAGAGGGCAGCACAGGTGGTCCATACCGGATCCCAGCCTCTGATATCTGGGCCCTGAGCTGGTCACTGCTCTGACCCTTGCTGGATACAAGTGTCAGAGTGACTTCTGTGGTGTAGCTCAGGGAGCAGGCAGTAGGGTCCCTTTTCTATGGGGCTGCTAATACTCAAGGCTGATCCAGAGCCAACAAGTGAACACAGAGCCCCATGACCGAAAGTCCTCCTGGCCATGCCCTCCAGTCACAGCCCTGGGGACCAGGTCACTTTTCTCACCCAGCAGGGGTAGTGACAGATACTTGGGGAGGTGAACCAGTTTGTCCAAGCTCATAGGACCCACTGGATCTGAACCAGGCCTAACACCAAAGCCCAGTTCCTCCCACTGTGCAATGCCTCTAACACTGTCCCTCAATGTGCCCAACCACATGATGACACACTGCCTGCAGGTCCCCTGGGAAGGAATCACCCCGCTCGTCAATATGTACCACGGAGACTCCCTCAAGCCCATCGAGGATGAGGTAGCTGAGTGTAGCTGCACTGTCCCTTTGGGAAACAAGACAGATCTGCTGTCACAGATGGCCCGGCTCCCAAGTCTGTGGCCCGGTCCAGGCATCTGTGGCTCCTGACTGCTCCTGCAAGGCAGAGGCACATGAGCCACACGGGCTGCCGCTGTCTGCAGCCCCATCAGTCACCCAGAAACAAGCGAATCCAGAAACCCACAATGCCTGGGTCAAGGACAGCGAGCCTCGCCCTCTTCTGAGAGAGGCTTTGAGTCGGCCAGTGGGGAGCAAGTTGTGAGGGCTGTTGGTTTCACTGCTAACGTAACACATTTATGCCAGGGACTGTTTGTTTCTGCAGCCTATGGTTTCCCATAGACTGCAGCAGGATGGCCTGGCTTGGTCAGCAGAGCGTGAAGTTTGAGTCAATGGGACCCAGAGCTGGGCCTGAAGAAACTGCTAGTTTCTGTGTGTATATGTGTGTCCCCCTTCTCTGCCTCAGTTTGCTCAACTGTGAAGAGGAGAGGCAGTCCTGCTCTGTCCTACTTTGTAAGGCTGGCAGCAGGACGAAACCAGTGTACCTGCCAAAAAAGGGGTTTTCAAATGAAGGACATTGTGTGTGCACTGTGCAGGAGACTAATTTTGCAGTATTCCATACTTTAGTAAAGAAGGAACACAAAGAACAGGCCCTTGTTGACAGGCCCAGGTTCCTCTGAGTTTCAGCAAATATTATTTTTCTGCTCCCCAATTTCTTCCCCTACCAACTGTCTCCTGATAATCTAAAGAACTTCTATGCATCCTTTAAGGGCCCTGGGTCAAGCACCTCCCCTAATATGTTCATGCTCTGAGCTTTTTAATTGTAACACATCATTTCCTTACAGCCCTTTCCTGCTGTCTCCCAACAGGGCACCTCACATCGCTCATCTTTGAGTTCCTGGTTCTTAGCACAGTGCTGGGTGAATAGCTACTTCTTGGATGGCTGAACACTGTGCGTGTGTTCCACTCACTCTGTAGCTGGTCCTGAGGTCCCCGGAGGATCCTCCTTGGTCACTGCACTTGGGTACAAGCATCTATAGTAAGAAAGGCAGCCTGTGGAACCCAGGTGAGAACTGCGTTTACACAGAGCCTCTGAACCAGCGCTGCATTTTTTCCTCATCAGGCAAAAGGAGCTGAGTCATGTGCCTGTTTGTCTGGAGCTTTATAAATGAATTGGGAAACATTAATATTTGTTCTGCTTCTATTTCAGGGTTCAGCAGTCGCAGCTTTTCAGACACCTGGAAAAGAGGGCGAGCCATATTTCCTGTGACACCAAGAGTCTTGTCCAGCCCAGGTGACACCTGTGTTCTTGCCACATGGAGACCAAGGATGAGAAAAACTGTCCCCAGCACCTGCTGTGTGGTGGAGGATGTCATGGGAGGGCCGCTTTGAGAGGCTCAGGTGTGATGACAAAAAGCAGGTGAGTCACGTGTGTGCCGGGGGAGCTGGGGTCACAGGCACACCCTGTCACCAGTTAGAGTGCACTTCCTCCCAGCAGGGGTGCACAGGGAGGTGCTACAGAGCATCCTGCCAGCCAATGTCATCGTGTAAGGACAACCCCTTCCTCCTCTCTGCATCTCACTTTGTCTCTTCGAAGCCTCTTGCGGGATTATGGGATCAGGGGCATGGGGATTGATGAATTGGGTCTAGTAGGCAACAGGCCAGACAGTATGGAGCAGATCTGATCCAGCCACTCCCAGGTGCTCCACAGCCCTTAACAGCTCCTGGTGCCAACAGATGCAGCATGGACTGGGATCTCCGGCCCCTTCTCACTATGTTCTTACTATGGCCACTGCTGCCCAGCATCCTGTGACTAAGGCCACTGGGTGCTGTGGGGCTCCCTAGCCTTCCAGCCTGATGCACAGGCCACTCCTTGATAGGCAGCGGATGCTATGTGCTGTGCTCCCCAACCAACTTCTGCTCAGACCAGCAGGTCATCCCCAAGGCCTGAGCACCTAGTAGTATCTGAGTTGAGCTGATGCCTGAGCTGATGGACAACTTTCCAAAGTATACTAGCCAGCTCTCTTAGCCCTCAGCTCCTCTGTGTGCTGACTACATACAGAAGGCTCTGTTTTCTGATCTGTAAAATGGGTCTGAAATGAATCATCATGCCATGCCAGTCACAGAGCAGTAGGACTCATGTGACCTGAGCCACTGGAGTGCTCAGGATGAACGAGAGAAGCCTTTGGAAGCTAGAAGGAGTTTTGTTTTGGCGCAGAGGGCAGCTGCAGCAGAGGCCCCTTCTGCTGGGCAGGGGTCATGCAGAGTGGAGTGGCCTCACCAACTTTGCAAGGCAGGTGCTTATGCTGCTGAGCTACATTCCCTGCCCTCCTCACCCCGTTTGGCTTAGACACAGACTGCAGAGTAGTCACAGCCGTGAGCAGGCTGCCTCCCTTCCAGCTCAGGAAGGCAACAGCGCCAGCACCATGGGAGATGGCAAGTGACACACAACCTCGTGGTCAGGCAGACAAGGGAAGTGGGGGGCTGTTGCAAACAGCAGTGCAGGGCTCTGCCAAGGGCAGGCTCTGTCTCATCACTGGATGATTCTGCCACAGGGCGTAATGCCACACGTCCAGGGCATGCTGCCCACTGATTTTCACATGGGATCTTCCTGTTTTTAAATATTGGCAACTAATCCTAGTTGTTTCAATGGCTGGAGTGAGCCAAGCAGATCCCATCTGGGGCTGGACCAGCTCCCCCACTTCCTGATTTCCTCCAATTCCACCTGCTGTCCTGCAGTCAGGGACCCAGCTGAGACTGAAGAAACTGGAGGCTGCTGTCATTCTCAGACAGCTCCTGGAATTGACTGTTTTATTCTTAAGCAGGAGCAATGTGCGATTGTGCACGTGTGTGTCTATGCAGGACTGTTTCCCTGTGTCTCTCTGAGGATGCGCATGCCTGTGTGTGCCTGTGTCTGCATGGATAAATGTGAGCCTCTGGCCTCTGTGCATGTCTGTTTAGATGTCTCTGTGTAGCACACACAGGCACGCACAGACAGGCCAGAGTTGGCAGATACATGTTTCTGTCTTTGAAAATCTGCCTTCCTGGCCCTGGCTTGGTGTCGCTCATGTTGGAAACGGTTTATTTTGGCTGGGGTTGCTCAGTGGGATAAGCACAAGGCCCTGGGTTCCATCTCTAGCATCACCACCAGAAGAAGAGAAGGAAGAGGAAAAGGAAGAAGAGTAAGGAGGAGGAAGAGGAGAAGGAGATGGAAGAAGAGAAGGAGGAAGAAGAGAGGAGAAGGGGGAGGAGAGGAGGAGAAATAATAAGCCCCCTCCTCCCTCCAGCCCTCCCTTCTTCTACTGGGGACGGAACTTGGTCCTTTTACTTTTTATTTTGAGACAGGGTCTTGCTAAATTGCCCAAGTTTGCCTCAAACTTGCAACTGCGCTGCTTCGGGCTCCCAGTAGCCTGCATTTTAGGCTGTGCCACTTTTCCCAGCTGTCTATTTCCTCTTAGCAGGGCACTCAAAGCCACTGTTCCTTCCTTGCCATGTTTCACAGATGCTCTCTTCTTTCGCAGTACAGTGTG